TAGAATGTATCATTTCTAACATGTTGACTGTACTTTAATGAATGTTAGATTTTCGTATTTGTTATAATCAAATGAGAATAGGTAAGATCGACAATCTTGTATCGCAAACCAAAAAGAAGAACACGTGCATAGCACAGATATTCATCTAGTCTACTATATAAAACTTGGTCAACTCTCTCCAGCCTTCTGCCACATCATTCCTGGAGAGAGTGCCACGTGGTACCTTTAAAAAAAAAATCCCATCTCTTCACATTCTCAAAGGATTCCTCCTTCTGATCTCCGCTTAATAAAGCGTTTAATTCTTCCAAATTCCAATCCATTCGACTGCCACATTTATACTGTATGCCAGCTCCATTTATACCTTTCCTACTTAACAGCTCATATGAAATTCAATCTTCAAATCGGATCTGTAGTGTCAATTGCTTGGAGAAGTTAGAACAGATTGGCGAAAGAACTTACAAGTTTCCTCCTCCTCCTTCTTCTTCTTCTCAATTGCTATCTTTTTTCTTTGGGTTTTGTTCTTTAATTTGGTTTGTTGATTTCTCATGAATTTTATTGTTGTTTGAAGTGATTTTTCATTGCAAAGTTCAGTTAAAATACTATTTTGTTGATTGAGTGAATTTGAGATATATTTTTTCTTTTTTCTTCGGATTACAAATAATTGTGAATCTTTTTCTAGAACATAGTACCTGAGGTTTTTAGATTCATATGGTTGGCTTTGATTTTGGAGTCAAGATACATGGCTAAGGAAATCAAACTTGTGAAATCGTGGCACTGAAAAAGATCTGTAAAAAAAAAGGAAGAGAAGGGGTAAGCTACATTTAACTAAAATTGCAAACTTTGTGAATCCAATATGATTTGTAATTCCCTTATCACTGTCTACTTCAAGTTTCTGATAACAGCGATGGTAGATTAAAATTCTGAAGAAGCTTCATCATGAAAACACATCCATCTGAAAGAGATTGTCACTTTGAAAGGTAGTAAGGAACACCTATCTCATCCTGAAACTACTTGTTCCGTTAAAGAGACTTCAAGTTTGATATTTAGTGTTTTGTGGCTTTTTTTTCTTTCAAATGTCTAGACAGGGATGATTAAGGAAAGTCAGGTTAGTGCAGCTTATTCAACATCTAATGATTTTCTAGTAGAACTTAGGTGTGACTAGTGATGCGGACATCAATCCATCAAGACGACTCATGGTGATCTCAACACTTGGAAGAACTAGGTGCAACGGACGTGAGAGTCTAGCCAAGGGTAAAGGAGAGACGATCTCCCTTGTTGAACAAGTTAATGGCGAAGGGGAGATGATTGTCATTAATTTGTTCTCTCTAGACTACCATCCCATCACCAAGAAGCCATTAGATCACTCAATCTTAACCAGACCAAATCAAAGAGGAGGCAACCAATCTATTGAAGACTCTGCTCAACCCAAAAAGAGCCGCGAGCCTTGTCAAGGCCAGATGAAGTCCAAGAACAAGTGTTCCAGCCCAACTAACACTTGGATTACATTCCTAGCTCAGCCAGAGCACGCCTCGAAGTGGAATCAGTCCAATTGGATTCAGATGAAGGAGATAAAGTTTATAAATCGGGTGATCCTCAACTTACTCGATTTAGACATATCCACCTTAATTGGAGAAGTCCAACTAAACCAAGAGGAATTAAGCTGTAAACCGACTTTTTCTGGAATCTTGACTTATCAGAGAATTATAGAGAATTGGAATCAGACCGAGATCGATTTTGGTTTAGGAGATATTCAGTCTCTAAACCAATGGATCCTCCACTTTCCTTATTTGGAACCTTCTGGGTTTTGGAGACTTCAAACATATCAGTGGCGGAGAGGAGACTCTGAGTTACTTCTAAAAGCCTTCCACAACATCCTAAGGTGTACCAACACGCATTGGATCAGGCGAATCCTCCCACAACTTTACTTTCCATATGCGGCGCCGAGCTTACCTTATTTGCCTTGTTTGGAGCCAAGGGAAATCAAACAGCAACGGCTCTTTCCCTCATCACTTGTGCGCCTTCTGAAGACTTATTCAATAAACCTAGACGTCCCAAGACACCACCAATTCGCACCCAAGCTTTCAAGACTCAAGGCACCTCACAACTTGCCTTATTTGGACAGATTTTGCCTTCAATGTTTCAACGGCTCTTTTCATTTATTTTGTGCGATTTCTTTTGTTTTTCTAGCTTATTACCGTTGTCGTTGAGGCCCTATATATAAGCTCAGTTCGTTCCTCATTGTAAATCATCTTTGATCATTTGAAAGTAATAAAAACGTTTTGTTCTTTTTCACAAAGTCTGTTTGTCTTTGTGTTTATGCTCTTTAGATTTCTAAGTGTGTGATTCACTTTGAGTCTATAGAAACCCACAATATAAGAGTGTTTTGAGTGATTCAATACTCTTAGTCGTGCCATTGATTGAGTGAGTCAATCATCCTATCATCATCTTCATCTCGACTTCATTCCACCTTCCGTAAAGATAAGCTTGGAATCTCTTGATCATTGAGTGATCATAAGTTGGAGTGATTCCAATCTTATAGCAACTAGGATGGATCTATTAAAACTCTCTACTCTTTCCTAAAGCTTGTGGCTTTGCTCAAATTTTAGATAATACCAACAAATACAAGGGTGGAATCTACATGGTCTTTGAGTACATGGATCATGGTCTTTCCTGGTAGCTCCTCGATGCACCGTTCTTCAAGCTTCATAAAGACCAAGGTGAGCATAAAGTCAAAACATTCTCGTAAGAAATAATAGAAGATCGATTTCAAATATCTACACATCAAAACGCATATATATTTATTTCTTTTTAATGATTTGACAAGCAAATGACTATTTATTCATTTTCAATGATTTGAAAAAAATGATTGAGTACTATTAAAATGACAAAGAACTAAAAAACAAAAAAAATGACATGATCATATAAAATCTTATATATAAAAGAAGAAGAGTTTCTCTCCAGAGAGCGACACGTCAGCACTCCATGAAATGACACGTGTCACCTTAAAAAAAAACGAAACACATCTCTTCATCTTCTCACATGAGCCGCTCCTCCTTCTGTCATTTATGATACCCCATTCCAGAAACGTTTACTCCTTCCAATTGATTCAACTGTCTCTAATGTACAGGTTTTTTTTTTCTTCTTCATCTTCTCAAATGCTGCCTCTTTTATCTGGGTTTTGTTATTTGATTTGTTTAAAGGAGTTCTGTTCGTCGTGAATGATTTTGTTGTTTGAAGCGCTTTTCATTGTAAAGTTCAATCAATACATTGTTTGGTAGATTGATTGAATTGAGATTCTTAGATTTATTAAGGCTTTGTTCTCAGAAGAAATCAGACTTGTATGATTATCGCATGCTTGATAATGTATATAAATGTATCTTTCAGGCTATCTTTGTCTATATATTATTCTTCTGTTTACAAATAAGTGTGAATCTTTTCCTATAACTTAGTAGATGTGGTTTATAGATTCATATTTTTGGCTTTGATTTCACAGGTACGTTTACATGGCTAAAGAATTAAACTTCTGAAACTGTGGCACTAAAAAAAAACTGTATGGACAATAAAAAAGAAGGACCTCTAAGCTACATTCTACTACTACCTTAGAAAAAGTTGCAAATTTTGTGAATCCAATATGATTTATAATTCTTGTATCACTATTTGCTTCAAGTTTCCGATAACAGCTATGGGAGATTAAAACTCTGAAGAAGCTTCATCATGAAAACACTTCAGAAGCTCCGCTAAAGAGGCTTGAAGTTTGATATTTAGAGTTTTGTGGCTTTTTGTCTTTCAACAATTAAACTGTACCAGTCTTATTGCACCTTCTTGGAGATTAGAATCCCCTCTATAATCTGATTAAAGGAAAGCCAGTTTTTGGCCACCATTTTCTTGGAGTAGAAAAACTCATCCCATAATTAGGCAATTCATATTGTTTATCTTATAATGCACACACTCATAGATTGGTCGCCCTCTTAACAATACTGGTTGTTCATTTAGTTCCTTTTTCAACAAATTAACAGCAAAGCAGGTATAAAATTCAGTATAGCTTATAAATTTTGGTTCTTTGATTTTACAGAGATTTCAATGCTCTTCATGTTTTAATTTACTGTTGTTCTGGTTGCAAGGTTCTGTACAGCGCATGAGGCTGCAATGCAAGCGATTGGCATCAAATTCCGTTCTGGTTTCAGCCAACTACGGTTGGTAAAGCGAAGCATCTCTCTCTTAACCAATTGGCAGGCCGTTTATGAGCTGTGGAAAGAAAGAATTCAACATTCGCACTTGGATACAACTCTTCCATCTCGGTCATTTTAAAAAGACTGAATTCTTCAAAATGGGAGGAATCTTCTGTTTCGATGTTTGGTTACCCCAAAGTTTAATAGATTTTGATTAATTATTCCCAATGTAAAAGGGTTTTGACGGGCTGTCCGTCCATCCATTTCGTTCCTTTTACGTTAGTTGTGGTTCTTATTGCGATTACAAAAAAAAAATGAATAATTTGTCTTTTATTAAAAGCTGGTGGAGTTCTTATGTTTAACGAGCAAGTTTTTAAATTTTAATCAAATCCAACTGAACTACTATCTACTTAATTATAGCTCATTTTCTTCCCATATGTAAACTTTTACACAAAGGCAGTGAGAAATCATCGACTATTAGGAGTACCAAGTCTGTGTAGCTTAAGTTGTCCTTTGTTAGATCATCATCACCATTTCATAAAGATTGATGAGATTGAATTTTTTAAAAGAAGACCTCATCCGCCGCGTAAAAATATTTGGTACTCTAATACCATCGTACTAAGACAGAGAAAAACAGATTTATGAAATTGAATTAAGACAGAGGAACTCTAATACCATCGTACTAAAATTTTCAATTGCATCTCAACTTTTACTAAAAAAGGGTTTACTTTCCACAAAATTTCCAGTTATTTACAGAACTTAAAATCATTGTACGATAAATTATAACAGTTATGTATTCACAAAACATTCGAGAAGAGATCCGGAGCCGGGGAGGAGACTTCTACAATATTTGTATTTCGGATCCAACCTAACCCGGTCCGGATCGACCCGAAGCAAAACGGTCAAAATCAGCAGAAACACGTCTTAGGCTCAGAGTCGATTCATTTGACGCTTTCTTTTCTTCGTCTTCTCGAACTGATTTTCGATTTTGTCTCTCACGTGTGATCGATCCTTCCTCTCCCTGCCTATTTGTAGATGTAAGTCAGAAGTGTAATCGGCTCCAATTTCATTGATAATTTTGTTGGCATCATCTTAGTTTCATCGCAATCAATTCTCATGTATAATCTCCGTTTTCGTTTTCTAAGGATTATATTTCGGATTCTTAGTTGGTATTCATGATTTGCTTTACTTAGTGAAATTCGATTCCTGAAGAAGATCGGTCGACATATAATACAATTCTAGGTGTTTCATGAAAATGCGTTGTGATGGTCTCATACGACATCATCTGTATGGAGAAAAATCTGAATTGTTGTTCATTTTTTGGATTTTTTTGAATAATTTATCAGTGTCACAATCATATCTGGTTGCGGTTTTCATCGGATTAGGATTATGGAAGATTTTGTTGGATTTACTGATTTAATCAATCTTTGTGTACAATCACTATGCAGATATGTATAGGATTCGGCTTTTGTTTGGTATCTAGCTGGTTTCGTACTGTATAGAGAGCTAAAAACATTACTGCAAAATGGCTTCAAGAGCACTTCTCCGAAAAAGAAAGTGCCTCGTTCAATCTCTCAGTGAACATTTTCAAACAATCCAATGTCTTTCAAGCGTTGAGCGGTTGGGGCTGAGTTCTGGTTCAGGTTATATATCTAGGAAATTTGATTTCAAAGATGAAAAGTTGCTTTCTTTTCTCAAGAAAAAAGAATCAATCGAATCGTCAGGGTTGTTACCTCAGTCTCCGAGTTTTAGTAATGGAGTTCGAAGGTTAGAATTCCCTTACCCCTTGGGGTATAGATTGGTTAGGCAATCTATGTTGTCTTCCTTGGCGACGGCGAACAAGCCTGACCATGATAAAAATGGTGAAGACGAGAAGCTTACTTCACAAACCAAAGAAGCTTCTCCAGAGCAGTGTGATGAAGCAGTCGAGGGGTTGAGTTTGGCTAAAGCCAAAGCTAAAGCGATGAAATTGGAAGAGTCACAAAAATCTGATGTATCCATCATGCAACGTGTGCGATCGTTTCTTCTTGGGATAGGTCCTGCTTTGAGAGCTATTGCATCTATGAGCAGGTCAGGGTTCAGTTTTTGTCTATTCTTTCAGCGATTTTGATGTCATCTAACATATGATGTGTTTCTGCAGGGAAGATTGGGCCAAGAAGCTTCGCCATTGGAAAGATGAGTTTAAATCGACTCTGCAACACTACTGGCTAGGGACAAAGTTGCTATGGGCTGATGTAAGGATAAGTGTGAGGCTGCTTGTTAAACTTGCTAATGGGAAAGGTCTCTCTAGGAGGGAACGTCAGCAACTCACTCGAACGACTGCCGATATTTTTAGATTAGTCCCTGTCGCTGTTTTCATTATCGTCCCGTTCATGGAGTTCTTGCTACCTGTAGCTCTTAAGCTGTTTCCAAACATGCTGCCTTCAACTTTCCAGGACAAGATGAAAGAAGAGGTATTGTTAAAAACCTATGTTATTCTTTACTTACCAACTGGAACGTTTCATGTACATGTGTAGGCCTTGATCTATTTTCCCTTGAAGAAATGAAAATGTTTATACACTGGCTTACATGTGGATACTGGAGTTTGTTTGGTTTGAGACTGAATCAGAGTGCGAAGGCTACTCAATCTTGGTAGTGTGCTAGTGTACAAATTTGGGAAGAGCAGAGCATTTAAGTCTCAGTTTTTTTAGTCTTCCAAGTGATACATTTCGTATTGTCAACACAAGTGGTAGTTATTAATGCTAAAAGAGACAGAAATCATATTGATTTTTGTACTAATTTCTCTTGGAAGTATAAATGGTTTGGTTTTGTCTTCTCACTGTCACTCTTGCCTGTTTCTCAAGTATGAAGCTAAAACTGTCGGAACGTTTCTTATGCAGGAGGCACTAAAAAGAAGGCTGAATGCAAGAATGGAGTATGCAAAGTTTCTCCAAGATACTGTTAAAGAAATGGCAAAGGAAGTCCAAATCTCGCGCAGTGGAGATATAAAAAAGACGGCAGAAGATCTAGATGGATTCATGAATAAGGTTCGCTTTTCTTGTTATATTGTAGAATTGACTAGCTTCTGTTTTTTTCAAGATGGATTGATGATAGCTTCGTTAATCAATTGTACAGGTTAGAAGAGGAGTCGGTGTTTCAAATGATGAAATTTTGGGCTTTGCAAAGCTATTCAATGATGAGCTTACATTGGACAACATTAACAGGTTACGCATCAGTCAAAACTCAAAACTGTCTGTGTTACAATATTGCTTCTTGCTTGGCTTGTTTTGCTTATATTATCTTCTTAAATGCAGGTCTCGATTGGTAAATATGTGCAAATACATGGGTATTAGCCCATTTGGAACTGATGCATATTTACGTTATATGCTTCGGAAAAGATTACAGGAGTAAGTTCAACACTGCTCATACTGCTATGTTTCTTGTTCCAAATGTCTGCCAATACGTCCTACAATCTTTTCTCTGTTTTTGGGGACATCACATGAGTTGTGTGGGCATCAAATTACTCTACAAGACACGTTTCTCAAGATATTCACTCTAAATTTATTTTCATCTTTCTCACAAATATCATTGGGCAATGCCATTCCTTGGACTTCATAGGATTAAAAAAGATGATAAGTTGATCAAGGCTGAGGGTGTGGAGTCTCTCTCAGAAGCTGAACTACGCCAAGCTTGCAGATACAGAGGAATGCTTCAATTAGGTTCAGTTGAAGAAATGAGACAGCAGGTAATTGTTCAAATCTATAGACATATATATTTGTATATATATATATGTATATATATATATATATATATATCTGTCAGCATTCAATCTTTGCTGGAGTTTGTATTAAACAAATTATACACTTTGTCAGCAAGAAGAAGGAAGGATTATATGTTCTAGAAATTATTGCTGATCTGCAGATCACTCTTTGCAGTTAGTTGACTGGCTGGATTTGTCGCTCAACCATTCAGTACCGTCATCCCTCTTAATTCTCTCTAGGTAAGCCTTTCATGCCACTCAGTATGTATATATATACTATATATGACAAAACTAAAAATGACATTGCCGCATTGGTCTTCCTGTGAATATTGACAGATCATTCTCGATGGCCGGGAAACTCAAGCCAGAAGAGGCTGTTCAAGCTACTCTCTCCTCTCTTCCAGATGAGGTTGTGGACACAGTTGGGGTTACAGCTCTGTCATCAGAAGATTCTGTATCAGAAAGGAAGAGGAAGTTAGAATACCTAGAGATGCAAGAAGAATTAATCAAGGTTTTTTTTGTTTCTCTTGATTTTCCTACCAAGTTGAAGCGTGATTGAGGAACTATTTTCTTAGTTCGGATTTAATTGAATGTAGGAGGAGGAGGAAGAAGAAGAGGAGGAAATGGCAAAGATGAAGGAGTCAGCTGCAAGCCAAAAAGATGTAGCTTTGGATGAAATGCTGGCTTCTACAGCTAAAGATGCTAATGAACAAGCGAAAGCGAAAACTCTTGAGAAACATGAGCAGCTCTGTGAGCTAAGCCGTGCATTGGCTGTTTTAGCTTCCGCATCTGTATGGAGACTTTACCACACTCCTATTTACTTAACTTGTCTTAACCGTTACCAATCTGATGAATGCTTCTCGTTTCTTTTGACTTTGATTCCAGTCTGTTAGCATGGAGCGTGAAGAGTTCCTCAAATTAGTTAAAAAAGAGGTAAATCCGCTTACCATTGGCTTTGATCTTGCTTCTTTGATTTTATCTGAGTAAACTTATATTCCTTGTATACAGGTAGATTTATACAACAGCATGGTAGAGAAAGGTGGCACAGATGATGAAGAAGAAGCTAGGAAAGCTTATTTAGCTGCTCGAGAAGATAGTGACCGAAGTGCTCAGAAAGCTATCGCTGATAAAACTTCTTCTGCACTATTAGATAGGGTAACAACAACAACAATTCCATTTTTTGTCGATCGCAAAATCTGTAGTGTTTGTTTTTTTAATTCGTAACTTGATTTATCTATAGGTGGAGACAATGCTCCAGAAGCTCGAAAAGGAAATTGATGATGTCGATAACAAGATTGGTAACCGCTGGAGACTCTTGGACAGGTCTGTTTTAACCATCCTTTTAGTTTTGTTTCTTGCGCTTTGAAATAATTTGGCATTTTCGATGAATTCGATATTTGTTGTACAGAGATTATGATGGAAAGGTAAGTCCAGATGAGGTTGTATCGGCTGCTATGTACCTTAAGGACACATTAGGCAAAGAGGGTATCCAAGAACTTATACAGAATCTTTCTAAAGATAAAGGTCACTCTTTCTTCCATTGCCTTTAACATTTTTTAGGACTTTTTTGGCAATGTGATTGTCTGAATTAAGTCTGGGTTTTTTTTCTTGTGGTTTAGATGGCAAAATATTGGTGGAAGATTTGGTGAAGTTAGCGAGTGAGATTGAAGATGCTGAAGCTGATGAGGCGAATGAGCCAACTAAGTCTTGAGATTGTTTGTCATTACTTTCATGATTCATATTTCTTTTCACTAGAAACGGAAAAAAAAAAAAAATCAAATAAAGGCTATCGTAATAAGTTTTTTTGACATATTTTTTGTTTTCGACATTACTGGTTTCTTCAATAAGTTTTTAGATCTTCTTTATTGGTAATACTACGAAACAATATGAAATATATTACCAATTAACGAGCGTCTTAAACATTACTGGTTTATTTAACCAACAAAAACTGATGTTAAAGAATCAAACTCGATTCTAATGCATGATTTGAGTTCTAAATCATATTTTACTGATTTCCATTTTGATTCTCTGGTTTATGATGTTTGATTTCCTGCGAAAATTACCTTAAAGCCTATAGTTTCTCTCTATTAAATTTACACTAGTTATAATACTGAACCCGTAGATCTTGTGAAAATAAGATATGTATGTTCTCAATGTCTAAAAGTAGACCAAATTGAATTTACTTCAAGATAGATATGAAATAGAGTCTTTACACACACATAATGCTTTCCAAATTGCATATTTAAATGAAATGGAAAAATAAAACGCAAATTATGGCTACAAACAATTACACCAGTTGCAACTAGTTGTACCAAAACATAATCAGCGGACATAAGTAACGGCTACAAACAGTTATACCAATTATATCTAGTTGTCCTAAGACAAAAACTAAAAATAATACAAATACAGAGAATTATAAATGCAAATTATTCTCACTTCTATCATTATAAAACCCATCGTTCCATGTTCTCCTGTCTTCCTCTTCCTATTCCTTTTCTTTTTCTTCAGGCCAGGCCCAGGGCTAAAGTGGGTGAAACCCTTGTTTTAGGTGCCAAAAAATATATATACAGACTAAGGGCATCAAAATTTTCAAATTATAATGTAATGCATTGGTTTGTTTGTGGAAAACATGAGTAACTAATGAAAAGCATGAGTCACTAGTATTTTGTTCGATTTTTTAGAGTGTTATTTTGTGTTTTTTTTTAATAATTGGCTAAATTTTTTTTTGAGCTTTAGGCGCCAAAACCTATTGGATTGGGCTTGCTTTTCCTCTTCGTCTTCTTCTTCCACTTCTTTTTCCTCGATGTTCTCCAACTGTTGGGCGCCTAGTTAAGTTGGTTCTTCCTTTTTTCTTAACCATTGTTGGAGGTAAGATGTGATTATCTCGTATATAGTCAAGAACAATCCAGTCATCTTTATGTGGTATTTGATATATCGTTTTGCAGTACACTAACGACCAATACTACATCCAATAATATTTGGAGCAAAACTCTTATAGATGGAGCTCTCTCTCCCCGCTCATAAAGATGGCAGCAGCTATTGCATGTACACACGGGCATCTGTCTACATCAAAATATTTGTAACTGCAATTTTTCTTTCTCATATCAACCAGATAGATCTTGCTACAACGTCCAATCACATTATTTTCAAGGTAGAAGCTGATTAACTCTTGCACTGTCAATAGTTTTGCTTCCACATATCTCAGGTGAATTTCGTTCTCCACATAAGGCACAAGCCTCTGTGCCATAGAAACTTCAGCAGACGTCTTCCTATGTTTGCTAGACCATTCAGCCAATTTCGCAACAATCATGCAAATCATTGGTAGTAACAAGTACTTCCTTACTTCTACAAAAGCGCCATTGATTGATTCTGCATAGTTGATGGTGTTTATATTATACCTTTCTCCTGAAAAAATAACATCTTGCCCATTTTCTCTGATCAACACTTCTATACAAATACTCGGCTGCATCTGGACACGTTCTCCTAAAGGTGTCGTAAAGTGTCAAGAACTCACTCTGTATAAGCATGAACGCATGCTCTGAACTTCTTTACACATGTCGCTTTGTTGATGCTAGCAACATTTCCTTTCATACTGAATTATATACAATATTCATGCTGAGACAATGGGAACTCCTCACATATTAACTTGATAAGACTTGGATTTCTATCAGAAAGAAATACCATTTCAGGAATATTTGGTACTACCAATCTCAACATATTCAAAACCACATCCAACTTGCATCTTTCTCACCATCAACTACACCAAAAGCACTTGGATAATGGTGACGATTAGGATCTTGAGCTGTAGCAACAATTAAAATGCTACCATATGCATTTTTAAGGTGGGTTTCATCCACAACAATCACTTTTCTCATGGCTTGTAAACCTTCAATGTAAGCTCCCAAGGAAAAGAATGGATACTTAAACTTGTTTTCCTCATCTATTTCCACATAAGTTTGTGTACCAGGATTCACGTACTCTAGCATTTACAAATAAAAATGCAACATCTGATAACTCTCCTCTGGACTTCCCCCATATCATTAACAACTTCTCTTTTTCCTTTCCATGCAGTAGAGTATGATACTGTAATAAAAATTTCGTTTTGAACCAAAAAGATCAATTCTTGTCGAGCTAGAGTTTTATGTTTACCTGATTAATTAGCATGACAAATAGATCTTACCAACTGTGGTGTGCCTTTCCTTCAGTTTTTTTTTCTCTTGTAATTGTAGTAGCTCCAAAACATATATGGATTTTGGTGTAAGTTCCTAACTGTGAAAAAATCCGAATTCTTGGTCTTCGCAGCTCGTAAAGACCACTTACAACCATCTTTTTCTCCAGATGTTTTAACACATATTGCGTTGTATCTGACTTGATGATGTCAAACTCAAAACTTTTTTGATGGGAAGCTGTGAAAACTAAATCTTGCAATGTCTCTTTATTACCAAACACTTGTCCACAAACCCATGTTTGAAAAATCAGGCTCGGCGGCAAGGAGCCACCGTGATTTCACCCTAATCAAAAAAAATCTTGTTCGTTTTTGAAAAACCCATTTTTGTGTTCGTTTTCGATTAAAAATTTATAAATTTCTAATAGAGCTATGAATTTTAAATACAATTTAAAGAAAAACGAGAAAACAATAATGAAAATGATGGTGAATCAAATACAAAAAAAATTGATGGTGAAAATCGAGTGGTTGGCGGCTAAGGTTGTAGAGAAAAAAGAGTTCTTAGGAAAGAGATGAATATAAAAAAGACTATAATAACCTTCATTAAAATAAAAATATATAAAAAAGACTATAATATCTCAAGATGGGCTCGATCTCACTACATATGTCTATAAAATAGCCTAAACCACTACACCAAGCCAATATCTTGTGCTATACAATACGATGTACGTTATATTACCGGTAAAACTAGATAAAACCCCTAAAATTACTCACCGATTAATACCCGTTTGAGCTCTGATTAATTGATTAGGCTGTAGGCGTTAGTCCACCGCCTGACTAACGCCTAACGATATTTTGAACATGGCTAAGAGCTATATCAATACCATCTTCCCATGTACTAATATAGTACTCATCTCCTTCTATAGTAGGTGTGACCACAATATCTTCATACATACCAAATTCTTCATGCAAACTATTTTCAGCATCTTCAACATCTGCAATAACAACATATTTTTGCAGATCATGGTCTTTTGATGGTTTGCCTGTGTAAAAAGTAATCATACCATCATTAACTTCTTTAACAACATCATTATTCAGCTCAGGATGCTCTCCATTAAGTTGCACTTGTGCCTGATTTCGATCGACATCTTTGATGAGCTCCACATGCAAAACACTTTTACATTGATATTTTTTCACTTGCATTAGACAACCAAAAATAATTTCATCATTCCAAATATATGATGGTTTCTTGGGATCCAATATCAGTGGAAAGTAGCTAACTCTAAGCTGCGACGTGGCTTCATAATCTTCCTGAAAATTCTATCAACCAACCCATACAAAGTGATCTTCTCCATAGATGTCTTCATCAATAAAGTTTATATTTTATCCTCTTCTGAAATCTATCTCCTATAATCACCGTTCTTTGAATAACAGCTCCCAGAATCACATAAGGGAAAAAGTCACAAACATAAAATTTGAGCAAAAACACAAAAATTGATTTTGACATTGTAAAAACTTGTTATTTGCGTTATAAAAGGGAAAAAGTCACCTTAAATACCAAGTTTCAGGTGCTTCAATGGTGGAGAGCAGTCCAAGAAACGATAGAGGATATGTGTCTTCGGAGGAGGAGCTGTGTTTCACGTTTGGAGAGAGAAAAAAAAGAAGAAGAGTGGATCCCATTAATTTTAAGGTTTGGTTGGTTGAATAATTTATAATTATATGAATAAAAATTTTAAAAAATAAGTGGGACCATGTTTTATGGTTGAAAAATTTATCATTAAAATAAAAAGGATAAAACAGTAAACATATTAAATATGGATATAAAGAATGAGAGAAAGATATGAAGAATTTTTATAAATAAGTTGGGACATATAGTTGACCATTTCTTTTTGTTATATATATATATATATAGATATATATATATATATATTTTTCTTTCTTTTGAATCATTTATAAGTAGTGAATCTTTTTTTTTTTAAAGAAAAATTTGTTATATTTGAGTTTATTATTCAACTATTTTTGACGTCAAATATGCAAGTTCAATTATTTGCTCTTCGAAAATCTTTGGATATAACTAAATCGTCTATATACTTGCACCGTACTATAAAGAATGGTGCAGTACAAGTTTTGTTATTTTAACCAAAATAGACAAGTGAATAATATTGAATCGATGTAGCATTCTACTTTCAATCATATACTTGTGCAATTGAAATATTGGAAACCTAGAAACTTAACTTGGCAAATGGAAAATATAAAAGAGCATAGAGTAATAGATCTATCTTCAAGCGTTATGTTAAAATTTTCTTTTAAAAACACCCTTAAACACGTATCACGCTCAAATTGCTAAATTATAACATGATTAAATAGACACAATGATTTGCACTTTGAGAAAATAGCTATAACACAATAATACAAGGGTTTTTCTTTATTATTTATTAAAGATGAAATATATAATTACAGACACAAACAACAATGAACATAAAATAAATAAATAAACAATAACAACAATGAACATGCTGAAGAAAAACAAAAGACAGAAAATCTGAAAAAGACATTTGTCTTAAAGATAAATACCACCTCTTTTCTTAATACATTACAAAAAAACTTAAAAAAAAAAAATTCCTCTGTTTTAAATCTTGACTTTCTTTCTCATTCAGCTGATTTATTTTTAATTAGAAAAGTTATTATCTGTTTTGACGTTTGGTGTTAGATCAGAACATGTTAACACTGCTGCGATTAACGCTGAGTGACCTTTCG